ATACGGCCGAGAGGAACGCCCTTGATAATACCCTCCAACATCGATCCCGCTGCTGACTGCATAACCTGGGCGATCATCGGGGTCATGGTGACACCAGGGCTGACGGTGTTGATCCGGTTTCCTTGACGGCCCCAAGCAACTGCAGCATGGCGAACGCGAACTATGCAGCCTCTTTTGGAAATGGAGTAAGCGTCGCCTGGGTCTCCGGCGAGGTTGATGTCTGCATGGTTGAGGAGTTCGGTAGCAGAGGCAGTTGCAAAGTGGTCGTCCAGAGCGGAGTTCGGCTTCTTCATGTGACCTGCCATAGAGGCTATTACGGTCAAAGAGCCGCCCGGAGCCATCAATGGCTGAAATGAGTCTATGATGAAGGCAACGCCAAGGAGATTTGTGTTGTAAATCAACTCGGCATTATTGGCTACGTTGGACACACCCGCTGTCACCACAACAGTCTGAATGGGACCCAGCTTGGCTGCAGCCTCCGCGAAAGATGCCACAGATTCTTTGTTGGAAACGTCGATTGACTGGGCCGTAAATGAGTGGCCGGCAGAGCGGAGCGAGTCTTCGGCGTTTGAGAGGGTTGCAGGGGAAAAGTCGGCAATAAGGATGTGGTGGGACGGACCGAGCCGACGGGCAATGGCAACGCCCATGCTGCCGGCGCCAATGACGGCAAGAACGGGGCGGCTTGGAGACATGATGGGAGAAGAGAGTGTAAATCCAATTGAGATGAAGCGAAGAGTGTTTGCAGAACTTCCTGATTGAAAGTGTCGATTGATGGTGTTAAAAACGACGAAGCTCGCGTTGTCAGTCTTCGAATCTCGTTTTCGGCTCGGTTGAGTAGTCGAAGACCAAGTTGCCAAGATATGAACCATCGAATCAGAAGTTATCGCATTCGGTTTCGTACCTCGTTCAGATCGGAAATCAGGATGCTACGCTGAGTTGGTCAAAAGTGGTCCCCTGCATTAATGTGGCTTAGACCAATCCAAGTCATCTTGGTGTCAAGCTCTTGCAAGTTCCTGTTACTAATTATCACCTTTGTAAACAGTCCAATACACGAAAAGGTGAGAATGTTCACATCAGACTTACTGTGGGGTGAGACCAATCAACTTCCTGCTAGAGATCGCAACTCTGCGAAGTATCCCTTCAAGTTGCTTGTTATTGGATGTTGTTTTGCTTAGTTGAACTATCTTAAACTTTCTGACGGGTTGCTAATAGTGATTCGGTACGTAACACTCACGTATCAACTCCGCCTGAATGAATTTAGTGTGAGCTCGGTAAGTTATTCAAATCCGCCAATGACATTCGAATAAAAACTGGTAATGTTGACGATTACTCTGCTCTAGTTGTCTTAGAGGTTACGTTGTCAATACAGACGACATCTTTAATGAATTAAGACTTTCTAGGCAAAGCTTCGAGTGCGAACATATGATCGGAGAATCCGCCAAACACAGCGTTCTCGTGGTATCTCATGCAAGGCTATGCGGAAAAAACTTAGCGATGGAAGAGCTAAGCGCCGGCATCTTGCCTTTCCACTCGTCCGCCTTGCCTTCCGCTGCATCAACAAGCCACTTTGCCAAGGCCCCTCTTTTCATGGAAGATGTCCATCCAGACTCTCCGATCCATCCGGTGAAGAGATTCTCCTGTCTGTCTTTCTCCCAGCTCTCAGGATCCGACTCGCCGGGAATTTGAGCGATCCGAAAGACCGTCCAGTCCAGACCCTCGGCCTCGGTCTCAAACAACTTCGCAAGATTCAGCATGTTGTTGTAGATTGGGCCTGCAAAGAGCGACATGAAGACGGTTACCATCGTCTGAAACATGGTCCAATGGTCTTCGGGTCGTTTGATGGACAATGTCCCCATGGCGAAAATTCGCTTGACTCCGTGCTTTCTCATTGCTGGAAAGACAGATGAGCGGTAAATATCTGCAAAGAGCGACGGATCGATCTTCGTATTCTTGATGTCGGGCCCCAAAAGCGAAATGACAATGGCGCTCTCTGCCATTGCAGAAGACAAGGCATCCGAATCGCTCATCTCACCCTTTACAACCTTGAGTCTTTTGTCAGCGCAAGTCAAAAAGATTGTGACCACAGCGGTAGAAACATTGACCATGGGCCTTAATTACCTGGATGAGTGGGTTCGAGGCTAAGTCATGAGGGATCTTCGTAGGGTTCCTCGCAAGGACCACAGTCGCATGGTTTCGAAAGAGGAGTTCCCGAAGCAGACAAATGCCCGCCGGCCCCGTGCCTCCGAGAACAAGAATTTTGCTGCCCGGCATTGCGACAAGAATGAAATGAGCTGGATGCAATGACAATGTGGCTCAGATTCACCCAGCGACTCTCCTGTGATATAAGACACATCTTCCTCCGCATTGATCTCTGTCACTATTTCGCAGCCCGACTTGTAAGTCACGGTGGCCATTCTGCAACTGCATCAAAGTCCGCCGCCGCGCCAAGGGCCAAAGTCCGGCGCCCAACTGGGTTCCCGCGCGGAAACCATTCCGGGCGGGAAACTTTTGCGCGCGGACCCAAGTCGTGCGGACCGCGCCCCGAGCGGGTCTCTTTAAGACCTAACCGTCCGAGTCCAAGGCCAGGCGCGCGGAAATCCTCACCTCCTTTTTCAGTTATTCAGCCATATCTTGTACCACGCCGCTTCCTCTTTCGGAAAATAAAGGGAAAAACAACCGAACAGCCTGATCAAGTCGGAAACATGCCCCGTGGCACGTCGAGCTGCTGGACGTGCCGCATACGCCACAAAAAGTGCGACGAAACGCTGCCGGTGTGCAATGTGTGTGCCGGGCTCGAGATCAGCTGCTACTCCGACCAGGAGGTGCCAGAATGGATGGATGGCGGTGCAAGGCAGCAGGCTATGGCCGAGAGGCTCAAGACGGAGGTCAGGAATGGAGCCAAGCGCCGTAGGGCTAGACGGATCTTGCAGCGCATCATCGGAGACGCGGATGACATATCTAGCGACATATTTGTATTGGATCCTCCCGCGCACATCAACTCCCGTCCGGCGCCTCGTTCGGCGGACAACGACAACGAAAGGCAAGATGCACCCCGTACGACATCCCGCCGGACTGGCACGCCATCCGGATCATTCACCAATGGCCCTGGCTCTGATTACCCCATCGATCCTCTCCTGCAGGACATCACGCCGCCATCTCTGCCAAACCTCCCTACAGAACTGGAGCAAAGTTACATCATGTCTTACATCGACTACATCTTCCCTGCAGTATTCCCATTCTACACGCCCAGCGTTCTCGAGGGTGGGCGCACGTGGTTGCTTATTCTCACCCTGGCCAACAAATCACTCTGCCACGCCGCTACCAGTCTATCCTCCTACTTCTACTCCGTGGTACCCGTCCAACAGCGGCCAGAAAGACGGGATTGCGTGCCCGAGGCCGAGGAGGAAGTGAAGAACCAAACATGCATGGCCATGAGGAAAGCCCAGTTCGACCTGAACGAGGTTAGTAAACATGGCGTACACGGGGATTTACTTACAAGCGCGCGTCTCTTTAATAGCATCGTACATCTGATGTGTCTCGAGGTATCCATAGCCAGCAATGAAAACTGGCAGTTCCATCTAGACGCTGCGGTCCTTCTGTTCAAGCAGATGTTGGAGTTCCCCGGAGACGTTGGGAGCCATCGGTCAAAGTGGGACGCCATGTTGGAACACATGAGACGACTCGCCCACCCCGGTATGGATAATCTGCCTCGGTGGCCAGCATGGACAGTGGACCAGGCCGCCTTTCGCTTCTTTTCTGGTCTGCTGATTGTCCACGACATCATCTGCAGCACAGGCGTTGAACAGATCCCACGGCTTCAACCCTACTACCCTCTCGTCCTAGCAGCCGAGGACGAACCAAAAGAAGACCCGGATCGAAACTGTCGACTAAGGTTGGAAGACTATGTCGGTTGCCAGAACTGGGCAATGATACTGGTTGGCGAGGTGGCGGCCCTTGACGCCTGGAAAAAGACCATGCATAAGAAAGGAGCACTGTCATTGATGCATCTTGTCAAAAAGGGGACGGACATTGAGCAGAGTCTGCGCGATGGCTTAAGCCGATTGGAGACAATTGACGCGATAGCCAGGGACCATCGACCGCCATGGCTGGCCGACTCAAATCAAGCCCATGACGAGGCAGAAGCCTGCCACTTGGTCACGCAGATCTGGGCGCACGCGGGGTTGGTATACCTCCACGTGGTGCTTTCCGGATGGCAACCAGCCAACATCGATATCGCCGACTCTGTCACTCAAACCATTGAGTTATGTAGGAGACTAAGAACGCCACGGAGAATTCATACGCTTGCATGGCCGTTGTGTGTAGCGGGATGCCTGGCGCAACCTGAGCAAGAGCCTGCGTTTCGAGAGTTGTTCTCACACATGGGTCCCTTAGGGTCATTTGGCTCGACGAAGCTAACAATAGATATTGTTGAAGGTGTATGGCAAAAGAGGGAAAGTCTCGCGGCCGATTCTTGGGATGTTGCGGCGTGCTTGAACAGCCTCGGTCGTCGAGTCCTGCTTGGATAAGGATGTGTTGGAACATACACACCAATCCTGACGACGGCAGGCTGCCGGCAAGTAATTGCTCCGTGGAGAGAGTTGCCATCCAAGCGGTTACTAGAAGTCAAATTCCCAGTCTCTTAAACGGCATGATTTGTCACTAGTCATCCACCAGAAAGGCATCGACCACAGACCGACGGACGTTTCTCAAAGCATCCCACCGGCCCAGCCCCGCGAGATCGCGAGGGTACATGCAAGCAAGGAGGATCGCTGGTTTGGTCAGAGAAAAGGTATGCCTGCAATGAATAGTTACATCCATATTACATCCGCATTGCGTCGTTAACAACGCTGACGAGCGAGATACACAGAACTTATACGATCGAGTGCTCTACAAACACGGGCGACCAGGCACCTCTCTACCACGAACGATACCGCTAAAAGTCCTTCTAAAAACCTTTCCAAAATCTATCGATAGCGCGTGTGATATCCTGAGCCGAATCATCACAAAGCACGGCCCGTATACGACTCGTACGCTTGATTCATATCCTTGCTCCCCTTGTGGTCCAAGGGCACCATAGCGATGCTTGTAGATTCCTGCTCTTGCTTAGGATCCAACTCAGGACTATATCGACGTCCTGTAAGGGCCGTATCGTCATCAAATTCCCCATCACCACCTCTGGCATTCGCGAGTTGTCCTCCGCCCCCGCCCCCGATATGAACATACATGTGTTGGCCCCAAGTCTGAACCCTCTTCAGCAGGGTCAGTGGCCTTGGGACACCGCCTTGGACGTTGCCGCTTTTGATAACCCGTCCACCGGTGATCATTCCACTGGTGGGGCCCTTCGGTGCTCGGGGGTTGTGTGTCTTGATGCCCATCAAGACCGATGCGAGGAGGGAGAATGCGAGGGCAATCCAGGTCGGCACAAACAGCAACCCGAGCGCGGAAGAGATGCCGATATCGTTGAAGTCTTTGTTGACGGCATCGTCAACTTTCTTGAAGATGACTGTCGCTGCGATTGATGCCGCGAGAAGACAGATTATGGCCATCGCAGACAGGACAACACCTGCGAAGCCAGCCCTGCCGCAACGACCGCTAATAACTGAGACAATTAGAGCTAAGATGGCCAGGACGAACGTGAAGATATATATAACGCTAAAAAAAGAGGACGTCTTAGAATAACTATTTAGAGTGTTATTAAAGCTTTTAGAGAAACTCCTAGTAATTAAGGTTATATTAAGCTTCAGATTACTATATAGGTTAAAGTCATATCTAACTAGATATATAGTATAAATTATAATATTATTAATATACTTATAAGATCTAAGAAATGTTATATAGTAAATATTGAAAATCTAAAGTATTATTAGGTTTATATTTTGTTTAATAAACTTAGTATTAGAAGCTTTTAAGAGATCTTAGAAGTATTATAATCTATTAAGTTTATAGTATTAACTTATTAAGTTAATTAGAGCTATAGAAATCTTAAGAAAAAGAACAAATATTATTTATTAAAAAAAAATAAAACTTATCATTAATTTTAAGCTATAAACTTAATATAATAACAACTTTAATTAATATATTTATAATTATTAACATTAAAATTAATAGAAAAATACAAATAGATATTTTTTAAATTAGTATATCATATATTAGATTTATAACACAAAACCTAATAATATAGAATAAATTAAATAATGTAATTAATTTTATAATATATAGAATATAATAGGTTTAATAAACAGTATATAAATAAGTTAGCTATAAAAATATAAAAGTTTATAGTTTTATTAAAAATAAAGTAAATAACTTATAAGTAGATATTAATCCTTAGAATAATATTTAATAACCTTAGATCTAAAGAACTATAAAACGTAATACTTAAATAGAATCTTTAGAGTAATATATTTATAAGAGATAAATAGTAGCTCATTATAACTTATTTAAACTAACTTATTAAATATCTATTAAAATAATAATATTAGTTTAGGTTTTATATAAACCTTTTAGTATTTTATATTAATCTATATAGCTATATTTTTATTGTTGTTTTTATACTTTTTTATATTTTATTTATTTATTTAGTAATTATAAACTATTTAAATCTATTAGATTAATAACTTAAAATATGATTTAGCTTAATTTATATTTAGATAATAATTAAGCTAGATAAAGGATCATAATATTACTATTCAATAAATAGACTTAATTTTAAAGTTATTAATAAATATAATTAAAAGAAGTTTATTATTCTATTATAAAAATTTATGTTGTTATATCTTAAACAGCAGAATAAATATTATCTATGTAATATAATATTTAATAAGTATTAATATAAAAAGCTAAATAATAACTAAATATTAAGTTTTGTCACAGGCTAGAGCCTGGATTGATATCTCCGGCTTTGCTGGAGCAGTTACTATGATCCAGCTCTGTTGGACCTATTACTCTGCCGCGGTACACCGCCTAACCTAGTCTGCTTCACTGCTATTAGGTGCCTACTCTTATAAAGTCGTTTCTTCCTTCTTCAGCTTAGAATAGTTAATTAACAGCACCTCTATATTAATAAGCTGTAAGGGTCTAGGACAAGGTCGATGCCATTGGTCTAGCCTACTACTACGAGTGCAATAAATCTTCTTGAAGAACAGGAAACAGAACCGTATCCTCCCTATTTCCTGGGCATTCTTATAACCTTGCCATTGACCTTGTCGATATTCCTAGAACCTTCTAGCAAATGCGCCATTGGATTTGGTGGGTCCAATGAGTCGTGGCTGAGGGTCTTGCCGAAGGCCGAACACCGGTCCATAGACCGTGACATAAGCCTAGGGGTCAGCCCCTTACATATTCTAAGCTCAACAACAAAAGATGCTATATAAAACCTCACGAGAGCGATATAACGATTCGCTAGAGGGTAGCACAACAAGAAGACGCTATACAAAACCTTATAAGTGCAACATAATAGATTCGCTAGAGGGTAGCATAAACGACGTAATAAACGCAGAGATTGACCGCAGGGTTAACAAAGCAGTTAACGCAAGCATACGTCCTCTTTAGGACCAGATAACGCAGCTCTTAACAGCTCTGAACAGGCTTATGTCAACAGATAGAGCAATCCCTACGCCACTTATAAGCAGCATACTAACCCTATCCACCGCTAATATAACTATACAGGCAATAAGCAATAATTAAATAATAGCAGCTGAAGGGTGAAGGAAGCCCCTGCTAGATCCCCTAAAGCTTATAGGAAGGCATAAGGAATACACAGCATAGTCCTAGCAGATATAGAATAAGATATAGCTGGATAGGAGATTTATTAATAGTAACAAGGATATTTAGTACTATATCAACTCCTGCCTTAATTATAGGCCTCAGTAAGTTATAGCCACCTTCTACGCAGCAGGAGGTCTGGGGGGCCTATATAACCCTCAGGAGTTCTTAAGCTACCTAGACCAAATATATAAGGACTTAAACGCATACAACTAAGCTGCCTCAACCCTATAAACCCTTCGCCAGCAAGAGGACCAAGCTCTAGCTTCCTTCCTACCCCAGTTTAAACAGATATTAGCAGAAGCTGGAGGGGCTAACTAGCCCAGTCAAGCAAAGTGTTACGAGCGGGTCAGGGCAACCAACTGTGGCACAAAGCAAAAGCTTCGATAATGACAAATCCGTTGTCATTGTCCCCTGTTCTGCACTATATAGTTACGAGCCTACAGTGACCAACTGCAGCGGTCGTAACACAAAGATAACCCTCCTTAAGGGAGCCCTAAGCATAAGGCTTAAGAGGGCCCTAATCACTATCAAACATCCCCTTAACAACTACTACTAATAGCTCTTATAGGTCTAAGGTATTACTTCTAAGCTAGAACGCCTACCTCAACAGGCGTCTAAACACGCCCTATCTCACCTAAGAGCACTACAGGCTAGCTAATAAGATATAGAAGGAGATATAGTGATATCTAGTATTAGCCGCACTAAGGGTAAGGAGAAGGTAAGGTTATATTGCTAATATAGCAGCTCCTCCTCATCTGAAGACCTACTATAACCTATAAGGGATAACTGCAAATACTTTGACTATAACTAGATCAGCTATATTACTATATAATACCTTAAGCGGAAGCATCTTAGCCTTAAGAAGGTTAAGAAGGTTAAGAAGGCTCCTAAGCCTGAAGAAAGCAGCAATAATAATGCTATAGAGGAGCTAAGAAGCTCTGAAGCTGAAGAGAGCTCAAGAAAAGAGTAACTCCAACGTAAAGTCAGACTTTAGAGGCAAAGCTTAGTGATATCACAGAATAGAAGCAGTTTAAGCATCATATAAGCAGTAAGTCAGCAGTAATCACTACCTATATATATAAAGGCACTTAAGCAGACGCCTTAATCGATACTAGGTGCAACCTATACGCCCTTATTAACCACAAACTTACCTATAAGCTCCACCTACTAATAATAGACCGCTCTAAGCAGGTACTAGGCAGTTTCAGCAACATTACAGGCGCTACAAAAGCAACAGGCGTAGTTATTTTTAACCTCAAGCTGTATAGTTATAGTGAGAAGATCTTTATATATACTATATATAGCCTTAGCAACAACCTATTCTTAGGGAAACCTTAGATAGAGAGGAACTATATATTATATAATACTGCTGCCTAGTATATACAGCATAGGAGGGGTGGTGTAGACTTACGTCTGAAAGGCGAGGAAGAGCTAGAGCAAGTACGCTAGATCAGGGCTGCCCACCTCCTCCTAGGAGCCCCTTTTGCAACGCTCTATAAGAGGGCATAATAACAAACCAAAGGAACTACAGGATATAAAGTTTAAGCAATCAGCTTAGCAGATATATAGAAGGCTCTTATAAGGAAGACTGAGAAGGCAGACCTAAAGGCCCTCCTTCCACCAGCTGTACTAGCTGAGTTCTAAGAGCTATTCCAACCTAATAAAGCTGCTAACCTTCCTCTATATCGCCTTAGAGTTAACTATATAATCCCTATCAAACAGGAGAGCAATAGCAATAAGGCTGTACTACTATAGGGGCTACTCTATAGCATATCATGAGAAGAGCTTCTCATCCTCTATAAAACCTTATAAGACCTACTAGATAAGGGCTTTATCCACACTAATAGCTTAGAAGCATCAGCCCTAATATTATTTATATATAAACTAGGTGGAGGGATATATTTTTATATTAACTACCACACCCTTAACAAACTTATAAAGTGTGACTAATACCCTCTTCCTTTGATTTAAGAGATGCTATAGACTATCAGCACTGCTAAGTGGTTTATTAAGCTAGACGTAGTAGCAGTATTCCATAAGATCTAAATCGCAGAGGGAGAGGAGTATAAGACAGCCTTCTAAATAAGATATAGGCTATTTGAGTGGCTTGTTGTTCCCTTTAGGCTTACAGGAGCCCCTGCTATATTTCAACGATATATCAATAGTATACTTCAGGAGTACCTAGATGACTTTGCAACAGCATATATAGACGACATCCTGATCTACTTAAATAGCTTAAGGCAAGACTATAAAGCAAAGGTTAAGCTAGTACTATATAAGCTTACTGCTGCAGGGTTATATCTAGACCCCTATAAGTGCGCATTCTCTGTTAAGACAGTTAAGTACCTAAGGTTTATTATCACTATAGGTGGAGATATCTCTTACAACCCTGAGAAACTGAAAGCAATTAAGGAATAGGCTACGCTAAGGATGGTTAAGGGAGTCTAAAGCTTCCTAGGATTTATGAACTACTACTGAATCTTCATCCCAGCATACTCAGAGATCGCTGGACCCCTAATAGCTCTTATAAAGAAGGGTGTCCTCTTCTGCTGGGGTAAGGAATAAGAAGCAGCATTCCAGCAGCTTAAGAGGATCTTTATAGCTAAGCCTGTTCTACACCAACTTAACCCTAAGCATATAACCTATATTAAGGCTGACTGCTCAGGATTCACCCTTAGAGGAGTATTATTATAAGAAGATAAGTATAGAAGATGTTATACAGTAGCAAACTACTTATAGCAGCTGAATGCTACCTAGTTTAACTACCCTATCTATAATAAAGAGATGCTAGCTATTATTAGCTGCCTATAAGCATAGAGAGTGGAGCTATAGAGCGTTAATAAGTTTAAGGTTCTCTTTGATCATAAGAACCTGAAGTACTTTATAATAAAGCAGAAGCTTATAGAACGATAAAGCTGATAGGCAGAAGACCTATCTCAGTATAACTTTAAGATATAATACCACTTAGGCAGCAAGGCAGTAGTGCTAGATACACTCTCTAGGCGCAAACAAGATATGCCTATATCCCTCGAAGATAAGCGTAAGCAAGGTTAAATCCTATAGCTCCTTCTAGAAGCAGCCCTACCCTCAGTATATATACAACATATAGAGGCAGCACTATTAATACTTATGTTCACTAATAATAAGGAACTATAGCAACTCTAGGACCAGACCTAAGGATAAGATAAAGTCTACCAGCAGGCCTATACTGCTGCGAAATAATAAGTAAGAAGCTTCCCCCTTAGCCTTAAGCTAAAGGTCCAGATTGCTAAGTGTGAGATTAATAATAGTAACTAACTACTATTCAGAAACTAGATCTAGGTACTAGGTAGCAAAGACCCTAATAGCAAGGCAAACACGCTATATACTTATATTATTTAAAGCACCTATAATTTAATACTTAGTAGCTATCTAAGAAGAGATTACACCCTTACACTAGTTAGTAGATAGTTCTACTAGCCTAGTCAGTTGCACCTAGTATAGCATTTCTATTATAACTGCAATAGCTATAGGTGAAGTTATATCTAGAGAGAATGCTATAAGGGACTCCTAAAACCACTTCTAATACTACAGCATATATAAAGCAACCTCACTATAGATTTTATTACTAACCTTCCCCTTATAGATAAGCGTGAGAGGTATCTCTAGGTTATTATCAACTAGCTAAGTAAAGGTATAACCCTTAAAGCTATAGAAAGCATAGAAGCTGAAACCTATGCTGAATAATTCCTAAGCTGCTACTTCTGCTTCTATAGCATCCTAATATTAATTATAAGCAATAGGGGAAGTAACTAGATAAGCTGCTTCTAGCAATAGTTCTATAAGCTGTTAGGAATAGAGCAGCAGCTTAGCACTACCTACCACCTACAGACTGATAGAAGCCTAGAGAGGATAAACTAAGAGATCTAAGCCTACCTATATAACTATATCACCTACTTATAGAAGGACTAGGTATATAACATCCCAGCAGCTCAGCTAGCGCTTAGTAGCTGCAATAATAGCGCTATTAGGATAAGCAGCTTCTTCCTAGAGCATAGATACTATCTAGAACCTATTATAGTTAAGGAAGTAGACCTAGAAGACTGTAAGGGCCCTTATGAGGATATAGCATATAAGCTGGTAATAAGGCTTTAAGATGCAATAGATATAGCCTAATCAACCTTTGCCTTAATATAGTAATGCTATAAGAAAGCAGCTAATATAAAGCGCCAGCCTATAGAGAGACTAGAAGTAGGTAATAAGGTCTAGCTTTATATAGGCCACTATAGATCCCCTAGGCTATATAAGAAACTAGATTAATTACACTATAAGTATACTATTATAAATATTATCTCACTATATATAGTAGAGCTTAATATGCTAACAGCTATATACCTATGCTTCTATATAGATACCCTAAAGCATATAAGTAATAACCCCTTACCTAGTAAAACGTTAGATAATAAGCAGCTGCTACTAATTATAGATAATAAAAGTGAGGAGACCTAGAATATAGAGAGTATTAACGCTGCTACCTAGAAGCGTTGAGGGCGCAGGTGACGCTGCGAAGTTCTAGTTAAGTGGGAAGGATACGCAGAGAGGACCTAGGAGCCTATTAAGATGCTCCAGGGGACGGAAGTATTAGAGGCTTATGAACGCCGTTATAGCTCTGCGATAGAGCATAATAGAGACCTAGCCTTAAGGCTGCAGGCATGCCGCCAGAGGGGAGCGGGAGGGTAATATCACAGGCTAGAGCCCGGATTGATATCTCCGGCTTTGCCGGAGCAGTTACTGAGATCCAGCTCCGTTAGACCCACTACTCTGCCGCGGTACACCGCCTAACCCGGTCTGCTTCACCGCTGTTAGGTGCCTACTCTTGTAAAGTCCTTTCTTCCTTCTTCAGCTTAGAATAGTTAATCGACGGCACCTCTACGTTGAACAAGCCTAGGGGCCAGCCCCTTACAAGTTTAAAGCTTATAATTTAATTAAATTTACTTATTAAATAAATCTTAGATGTATAAAAGTTTAAAAAATTAATATTTAGCCATTATATTATTAGAATACTATTCCAAATTTCTATTTTTTTTAAAGATATTTAGATATTTAGTTAGCTTAGTTTCAATATAACCTTTTTTTATTTTTAACTAATATAGAGAGTATAATATAGATTTAATATTAACTTTAATCCTTAAAAGCTATTAGTTTTATCTTTTTAGTGTTATAATTAGTTCTAATTTAGTTTAAAATAGCTTAGGAATTTCTAAACTAGCTTAAAGAGAGAGTTTAGCTTTAAAAGCGTGTGAAATATTATAGTTATCCCTGTATAGTAGGATAGATAACTTTTCTTAAGGTAACACCTATTATAAATATTTAGGACTTTTATATTTATCTATAAATATAAAGTCTTTATTCTCGTTACTAGCTATAGCTATAACGCTTCTTAGCGTGCAAGCTACGTACTTCAACGTGAATATTAGAAAGAATAACTAGCTTAAGTTTGAGCTAGAGATACTTATCACAAACCGCGGCGATATAATCACCTACCACTTCTTCTCTAAGGCAAGATTGCTTCATTGAACCTGATATGAGTGCCAATTTTCCTAACATTTTCTCAGAATCATTCGGTCACCTAATCTTTATTCGATAGTCCCTGCAGTCCGCTGGCTAGCGGTGGCTTCTTCTCAGCCTTCGTACCCGCAACTTCCGACTCTGAGTGTGCCAGAACAGTCTTCACAATCAAGGTCAACGACACTAAGCCAATCTGGATATTCTGTGGCCAGGGAAACCACTGCCAGCAGGGTATGCTGCATAGCATCAACCCACCATCATCAGGGAACACCTTCGATGCGTTCCGTGACAAGGCGAAGGGTGCCGGGCTGAGCAGCTCTCCTCCCGATGGTCTGCCCGTCGGCGGCAAGCGTATCTCTCGCGTCGACGTGGGTCTCAACGGAGCTCTGACGTTTATTCCAAACGACATCAAGGAGCCGCTGAGGACGCAAGTTGAGTTCAGCTTCAACCCGCGAAACCACTCAGTCACACAGTCATCTTTCGATAAGCCATGCGAGCCATCTGCCAACGGCTTCAGCAGTGGTCTCATTCCCACAGCTCTTAGTCCGTCCGGGGTAACCTTCAGCATCTTAGTCAACGATACCAAGCCGTAAGTCCCAAGTCTTTGTGCATGGAAGATACTTGCCGCTGATCAAGCCGAAGCATTTGGTTCTACTGTGCGCAAACAACTGGAACTCTTTGTCAAAAGGGCATGGTCGGAGCCATCAACGCTCCAGATCAGGGCAACACCCTCAAAGCCTTCACAGAACTCGCCTCCAAAGCACCCCCAAGCACTCTGCCCCCCATGGCCCCTCTCGGCGGCGTTCTCCGCGCGAACAGAACGATCCTCCCGATGGTAAATTCCGCCGTCGTCAACGTCTCCGCCCTTACAGCAGACATGATCGCCTACATCCCCAAGCCGGGTGACAACGACCAGTACATGATGGGCAAAGCCGGTGGCTGCGCAATCACGAACTGGAACTTCGGCACTAACATCAGCGACGCGGCCGTGGAACATCTGCAGCTCATACAGTTCCTCGACAACATCCTTCTCAAGGTCCTATTCGAAGGGTACGAGAGTCTGCAGACGGGTGGCAAGTGGGCCAATGTCTACCCCGAGACTATTGTCGAGACGATCGGGACAATGGCGGCGCAGGCGTGGGTGCATCGTGGCACGGCGACGGATTCGCTGCAGCACTTTTCCAAGACGGTGTTGAAGGAGTGCGCGTACGCCATTCCTGATCTTGACATCGATGCGTTTCTGAGCACGACGCTTACGATATTGCTGTTGGAGATTGGGCTGATTATTGACGCGACGGCGCTGCTGGCGCCGTCGGACCCGTGGCTCATCCCGGCTCTCGCGACATCACTCGGTGCCAAATCGCGCATGACAGCTGTTATCAACCTGATGCAGAACCATATTGCCGCGGCTGCGCCCCGTGAGGTTTCTATCCCCGCTGAGCTGGTATACTCGTACGCCATGCATCACTACGTGTCCTCGTGCCCGGATAAATTGGCCTGGGACAAGCCACTTGCTAAGTTGGACATTAAGGGTCAGGGGTTGGACCAGGCCCAGAGGTTGATGGGAGTTGATGGGAGTTGATGTTCAGTGGGAGGGCAAGCATGATGGGGACTTGTTCCTTGCCTGGCTTGGTGCGTGGGGAGAGGTAAAGTTTTCGTCAATTGCTGATGGCAAGTCTTCTGTACCTGATGGTTTGTACGGCCATGTTTGGGCTGTTGTCACCTCGAAGAAGGATGTTAAAGCCTCGGAGATTGCGGGTGCAGCGATAGCTGGGCCTGAGATGATCCGGGTCACACAACCTTAGCCAAGGTTGTCCTGGAGTGGTTTGACATAGCATCGGCGTATATACAGAAAGAAAGAAGCCATCGAGCAAAGTGACACAACTGGGGGGATACGATCATTGGTGGAAGAGATCAGATGCCATGCATATACACTATCATTACGTATTTTACATTACTGCTCCCCAAAGGTGTCGTATGCGTGCCTAACTAAGCGATATTTCAAGCAGCAGCTGTTGCGTTTCCGGCCGCCTGGTACTTGACGATGAAAGGCACCGTCGTAAACACATCCCAGTCTTCCTTCTTCTCGCGATCTCCGTAGATTCTGAGTGCGTTAACCTGCATCTTGTACACGCCAGGCTCGAGAACAGTGCCGTCGGCAAGCAGACCGTTGAAGTACGCCCGTTGGTCAACGCGGGTGACATACGGAAGAGGCCAGCCGGCCAAGCTTCCGAGGTTCTCCTCCTTCCCATTCACAACTGAGAGAACGTCCACCGCGAGTGAGGCGGTACCCACGGTAGGTTGGATGTAGACGTTGGGAGTGGCAGACTGGTCACCACGGTCGGTACGGGGAGGGTTGGCAGGGTCTGGGCGGGCAATGGTGTAGGCGCGGTTCGCGGGGACGACGCCATTGTATTCAGCGAGGTATGCTTGCGAGGCGGTCAGGACTGGGACGGTGTACATGCTGCCGACGACGCCAAGGTACGGCACGTTGAGGGAGGGGGCGTCGGTGGTGCTCGTGAGGATGATGTATCCGCTGTACACCGGCAGGAGGGTCGCGTTGAGGTTGGAAGGGGGCGTGCAGGTGACGGTCAAGTCAACCGAGCCACCAGCGGGAACAGTTAGCTTTCTATGAAAGGCGTTAGTCAAGGTGGAATAGACGTGGTGATGTCAGCGACATGACTTACTCAGAGCTGAACTGGAGTTCCGCCCACTCCTCGACCATGGGGTTGGGGAAGGCGGCCGCTCTCAGGCGGTCGGAGGTGGAAATGAAAGTATACATGGTCACAGCCTTGCGGTGACTGACGTCGAAGACAAGGTCTGCGGACCCAGTGTTCTTGATGCTGACAGTAGCGTTGCCGACGAAGTTGTCTGTGTCGTTGAAAGAGATGGAATTGACGCTTAGTTCGGCGGTGGAGCGGGCAGCATCAAATGCCTGGACAATACCAGCACCCTGTTGCGGGACAGGGGCAACGATGTCAGAGTGAGCTGTGGTACCATCGTACCAGTCGAGCTGCTTAGCTGTAGATGAGAGGAACGAGGCGAGACGCTTGGGGTCCTTGGTACCATGAGCCTCGGCGAGCAGGGCGTAGATGGCAGCAGTCATCGGGCACGACATGCTCGTTCCCGTCATGACTCGGTAAGAGCCAAGTGCGACAGGGTAAGTAGATAAGATGTTGGCGCCAGGGGCAGCGAACTGAGGGCTCGCGTCTAGTTCCCAGGTCGGGCCCCAGCTGGAGAAGGTGCCCATGTAGCTGCCGCTGCTGTTGTTTTCGAGGTTCTCGAGGCGAGTCTTGGTGTTGTTGGCTTTCGGGATGGAGACAGTGACAGCTCGGCCTTGGTCGAGGAGAGACAGCCACTGCGTAGACTGATAAGGCGGAACAGACGCAACGCCTAGGATGCCATCGGAGTAGACATACTGCTCATCGCGCATGGTTCTGATACATACGTTAGTTGATTAATCATGGCCATCACAGGTGCTGACAACTCACGTGTTGTCATTGGTGTAGTAAAGGATGTAATGTCCGCCCTTCGCGGCAACATTGTTGCCTTGGTCGTTAGGGTAGCAGCCGGTCGCTCGAGAGTCGGGGAATTGCAGCAGAGCGATCTTATTGCTAAGATCCGGCGTATCTTCCGGCAAAGCACTGCAGGCGTCGCCAGTCCAAAGCTGGAGGGACAGATCACCAGTCAATTCGGGAACACCAGGTAGGTAGCCAAACTCGGTCTTGCTGCTTCCAGTAGAGTTCGAGTCAACAGTGAAAGTGCCGGCGTTGAGAAGAGTGGGAAACAACGCGTTCGTAACGGCACCGATGCCGGCAACACCCCGGCCGGTTGCCGGAGTAGAGGCGTAAAACATGCCGGTGCCACCGTCGTTACCCTCAGAGATGACGACCGGAACGCCGGCATCAACAATACGGGACGCAACAAGGCCCCAAGCATCCTCAGCCCAACCGGAAGCACTGTTAAACTCGTCAACACATCGTCATTGATGAGCAGTCACCGGGCATAACTTACTCTCCGTCAGAGCAGGAAATAATATCAGCTCCCTCCTCGAAAGCCCGGCTGAACGCAGCAATCAAGATCTCGTTGGTCCCCGAAGCAGCGCATCCCCATGCACGGTAAGCAGCCAGCTTCACCCCGGGAGCGGCGCCAGTGAAGCCATACTCGTTGCCTTCCAGCTGAGCGGCGATAATTCCAGCAACGTGGGTTCCGTGGCCAACGCAGTCGTCCATGGGGTCGGCGTCGGGCTGCGCAGGTCGAACGCCAGGAAGGAAATCGTCGCCGGTAAAATCCCATCCGGCTTCGACTAGGCAGCCGGGGCCGAAACAGCCTCCAAGGGCAGGGTGCGTCCAGTCGACACCGCTATCGATGATTCCGATCCGAATTCCCTTACCGGTGATACCCTGTTCGCGCAACTTGTCGACCTGGGTCATGATGTGAGGGGAGAAAGTGTCCTTGGTCGAGTTGCCGGGAGCACCGCCCTGACGCTTGACGCGGGCGTTCGCAGTTGCGGAGCCTTGGTTAGGGGCACCGTTATCCTCGGGCAGGTCGAGCTTGATGGTCTTCACGGGCCAAACGTTCTTGATGCGAGAAGAACCCGCCATCTGGCGCCGGAAGAGCGCGCTATCATGATGCGCTGCGTTTGACTCTTTGACTTGGAAAGAAACGCCCTTGAAGAAGCGGTAGCTCATCTCCATACGCGTATCGGCATCGATTCCATCAGCCTTTAGCGACTCAAGAAAGCTGGAAGGAGTGTCATTGTCGTCGGCGAACTCGACGATATACGCGCCTTGAAGCAGCTCGCTGCGGCTCTTCGTCGTCTGGGTATCGTCGAATTCCGCTCTCGGGAGGTGAGCCGGCGCCGGGGCATCCGCGTAGATGCGCGGGTGGAGCGGCTTGGCCGTCGCGGCGTTGGCGCCCAGGATGGCCGAGATGATCGCGTGCGAGACCCTCATCTTGACTTGATCACTTGCTCACGGGATGTAGGCTAGCGGGTGAGGAGACAAAGAGAAGCAGATCGGACGCCATCGCGGGTGCAGCCGTTGATATACACGGGAAGCCCGCACCTCGTCATGGGGGTTGTTTATCGGTTGATGGAGCAGATGACACGAGTTGGAGATGAAGAACGGCAAATACGAGCTTCGTTCGTGATCTAGCGCGCAGATCCCCGGCTTTGCAAGGGGCAGCCCCACTGTTGAAGGTGTGCCCCTCGCGTGAGCCGAGATCCCCGACTTTGGACTCTGGAGAACGATTGAACGAAGGCGTAGTTTATTGTAGAATGAACCGAAAGAACGACTACTTGGGTATCGATCCAAGTCATGGCTCGACATATAGTTCTATTGTTAGAGGTCTTCAGAGCCTATAGCCTTCGATCTTTCGCTCGCAAACAATGACTCTGTTCAATGTTCTTGGGTGGGTCTTCTCAGCAAGTTTACAATGCTCAACTCTCTTGGCACTCCTCCGTATTCCGAGGGTATCCATTTAAATAGAGTAAGGTAGTATTCGCCAAAGTTACCGACCCGTCACTTTACTTGCTTGGGCAGGTGGGCAGAAGGGGCATCTGCCCACGACGAGGATGTCATGAAGCGCCCTAGAAACTGAAGACTCGACGTCTTCGATTCGCATCGGGAAAACGACCAAGACATAATGATGAGACGAATGATAACTACTAGAACTCTAAATACACCTTAACTCGACTTCGCCCTGCGAAGTTGCATCTCGAATGAAAGCTACCTCAACCCCTCCAGTCTCTCGCATCATTCAATAGGGCTCCGACCTCATGAGTCCGGTCACTCGCGCGCTCAATCACATCGTACTCATACATAGCTTTCCTCCAGTCTTTGATCTCGTCCACGAGACGGTCAGGATATTCTCTCGCTGTTATGGTGATATCGTCGAAGAACTCCTCCAACCTTTTCCGTCTCTGCCGCTGCGCTTGCACTGCTAGTTCACGCTCTGTGTGCTGGCTCTCAAGCTCAGACCTGAGCCTCAGGATCAAGTTATCGGCTCGTTGCAACCCCGCATTCTGATGGGCGAGACAGGTCCGAAAGGCCTCTCCTGCAGACATTTTCTGGCCCTCAAAGTTAGCATCCGCAAAGCACTTATCCATCTGCCTCATCTGGAGCACTTCGCTTGAAGTTTCAAACTGAGAAGAGTTGTAACTCGATGAGGTGTGCGATAGTTCTGGAGACTCGCCGGAAGAGCTTGATGTCAGATTCGAGAGTAGCTCGGGGGGTGGCGGGCAAAGTGGTGAGAGCATGCCTTGAACTACCTCGCGCATCAAGGGAAATGAACCGTGTACCTTTTTCGGCCCAGCGCGTGGCTGAATCTTTTGGGATCTGTCTGTGATATCTGCACTCCAGGTGTTGACATCGCGGCGCAACCGCTCTTTGGCAGCCACGCACGGTGTTCTTGGAATTGGGCTGGGATCGTACACGGTTGGGGTTGTGTTTGTATCCGCCTCGGGGAAGGCTGCCTTGGCCTTCTTGGTAGCTGTAAGCCGGGCCTCAACGCTTTCGTTTGCACTCATTGTAGGTTAATTGCGATGATCGTCTGTAGCATAAGAGTTCGTCACAATATTCCTCAGACAGCTGCCGCGTGATTTCGATACTTATGTATCAAAATCTGGAAAGGTAGTGTAGGTACTTACTGAGAACAAAGTCGTTGGAAAATCAACCACGCAATACACAATGGCTGTGTCTTCAACGCGGATTGTGTCCTCGTCAAAACCGTTGTTTTCATTGTTCCCACTCAACCTGTGCCACCAAGAACCGGCTTAATCCTTGCCTTGTGGTTTGAAAGGAGGAAGCCGAACCCGCTTTGATGCTTTTCTTTCGGTGTGTTCCACATGGCCTTGGAGGTGAAATGCGATATTTTATACCAGGACAGATAAGATGTATATGATCAAGTTATAGGCCTTTAACGAGGTCGCCGCTCAGAGACCCCGTCATCTTGTCTCATTTTGCACATGCCTTTTACTTCCACGCAATAGTTGCTCCCGTGTTGTGCGACTCTCTCGCAAGCTCGATGATCCTGATCGCGTCTCGTGATTGAGTGGCCTTCACCTCGAGCTCAGCTTTGCCATTGATCGCGTCGGCCAGATTCTCATAGATACCCAGCCAGCGCCCAGTGATGCTGGGATATCTGCCAGTGTACTTCTTCGTCGCTTCATCGTACTTCTGAACTGTTCCATCAAACTCTTTGTACGTCGTAAGAATACCACGCAGCTCGGCCGGCTCCTCGCCGAAACCGGGCTCAAGCGGCTTGCGGCCCTCGGCAATTTGCTCCTCCTGAGGGCAGGTGCTTCTTTGTTGGAACTGTGACGTGTCAGCGGACGATGTTTCGTACAAATGGCGGGCAACAAACCTTGAGCCATGATCCCTTTGTTCCCCTCACAAGATGTTTCAGTTGCTGGGCCATGGGCGTGGTGACGGCGGTCTTGACGGTCACCAGGAGGTCCTTCTGCGCTCCGTCGTACTGCAAGACGATTGTGAACGAGTCTTCCACCTCGCTTTCGATGCTACGCTGAGCGTGGAAGAAGCCAGTCACCGACTTTGGACGTCCGAAGAGAGTCACGGCCTGGTCGATGCTGTGTGTTCCTGTATTTCGACACGATGAGAACAGTGTTCCTGGGACCTAAGATCAACGTTCAACTCACCCAGGCCAAACGCCATGCCATCGCCCGGAGTGTACTCCTTCTTGTTCATTGAGCTGAGCCAAGGAGGCGACTCGAAATCATAGTGGATCTCGGCCTCCTTGATGTCGCCAAGTGCATCTTCTTTGATGAGCTTGCGCAAGGTTTGGAAGTCGCCATCCTACAGGTTGAATGAGTCAACGGCGCCGGCTGAGGTAAGTTCAGAAGACGTACCCATCTACGATTCTGGAAGCAAGTCAAAATGAGACCCTTCTCCTTGGCAATTTCAATAACACGGTCCGCCTCTTCGGACGACCTTGCGAAGGGCTTGTCGGCAATGGCTTTTCATCATCAGCTTCCAGCGCAAATCCAGCTCGATGTAGGTGTATGCCTTACCATGTTTGCCCGCCAACAGCGCCTTCTCTGCGAACGATGCATGTGTGTCAGTGTGGGTGGCAACCACGACGAGTTGAATGTCCGAGTCGGCGAAGAACTCTTCCGCGGTCCGGTAGTGTCTGATGTTGGGAAAGTCGACCTTGCAGTGGGAGCCCGCAGGTCCGGATGACAAATCCCTCGGAGCTTCCGCTCTCTGCAAGATCGCAATCACCTCGTAATCATTGTTGGCAGTGATGAAAGGTAGGTGGAAGCTCTTGGCGGCGAAGCCGTAGCCGACGACACCAACTTTGACGGTGGACATGTTGTTTCTTGTGTCGATTTTCCGTTTTTACTCTCGGGTGACTGGACGAATCTTACAGAATTTCGAGAGTTCTGTAATCACAGAGCTGGCTACCTTCATTTATATCCCATCTTCTAAGATGCGGGGTGTTGGTGCAGCGGCAGCTCGACGGTGCGGGATGACGGGGTGGGGCGGAGAGGACCCACCTCAGGCCGACACTCCGCGGACGACTGGAACTTCGTTTTCGTGTGAGTTGTAGTACCGACTTCAACAATTATACTTTAGTTTAGTATCTAATAATTTGCCAACTAGGATCTCAATAATATCGGACACTTCCAACCAGCCAATGCTCTTCTATTGATTGTAGGGAATTTTTGAGTTGAGTCTCTCTGTTCTTCTCGTTTGAGATACATCGTCAAATCTCCTTCGCACGCATGGTACCAAAATCTAGGCAAAAAAAGCCTCCACCCGCACACGATCAATCATCCATGACATGGTTTTAGCCGCTTCGCATCAAGCCCCACTGATTCCCCAACTGCTAGACTTTCCCGATCGAGACATGACTAACGACAAATGACGTTATTGAAGCTATCCCTCACATTTACTCCAGACATTTACCGAAGACCAACGCAAGTTGGATGGGTTCCACTATTGACACTGGGTGGCATTGTCCTGCCGGTCTGAATCGTGGAACCCAATCTAGTGAACATAACCCGGTTTCTGACCGTATACGACAAAGCTAGTTACAAATAATCAGCAGAAAGCCTGGTTTTCACGGAGCGGTACAAGAGGGGTAGCACTTACATGTCGAACAACAAATGCATATCCCCCTGTTTCAACTCCTTCCTAACAGCCGCTAACTCTACCTCAACCTCGACTCGCGATCTTCCCAAGATATCGCAAAACAGCTTCAGAGTAAACGCCTCTAGGCCCTTCAAGGTGATCGCCAAGTTCATCATTCCAAGATCTTTGTAGTACGGGTCCCTCGGCCAGGGACCTATCGGACACTTGAACTGCCGGGCGTAGACACCATTAAAACCTACCTCCTTCACCATTCTTTCGATCTTAGCCGCCGGAGAGGGGTCGCGACCCACGCTTCTGCAGGCGCTTACGAATGCCTGATTCCACGTCCAGGTAGCAAGTGCCGCAGTGTATGTACTGTCTTCCGAGTAGTACTCTGTGTCCATCTCTTGAAACTCGGCGAAGCCTCCCGGATTTAAGTGGCTGATTCACGGTCAGCAGTCAGAAGTCCCTGAGCGGCACCACTCGCTACTACTATTGAGACTTGACGTACTCGTAGACATTCTTCACCAACTTGGGCCAGTCGGCGATGGACGCGGCCATATACCGACACATGATGAAGTCGTACTTTCTACTCGTAACCCAATCACTTTCCACGTCGTCTACCTCGAACTTCACGTTCGGTGGAACCCTGTACCCCTGCATATCAGTCTTCGAGCAGTCTTTTCAACGCGAGTTGACTTACCATTCTGGTTGGATCGGACTTAGGTCATTTCCGGTGATCTGCAGTGCTTATTAAGCTCTCGATATACAATGCAAGACCTGACCTGTATCTAACCTCTGCGTTCTGGAAAAAATCACCCATTTCCACCGCCCCTGGGGGTAGTCAGCCTTCGCTCAGGTGTTGCAATAAGGATGCTCCGCTGCGTACAAATTCCGGTGCCCGTCCCGATGTCGAGCATCTTGTGAATTCTCTCCTTTTGCAGCGGTGCGAGATAAAGTCTGTTGCCAATGGTTTTGACAATCATGGCGTGAGCTAGATCGAGTCGGTCCATTTCATACTACATTGGTTTCGTCAGTGGATTGACATTGCACTCCAAACAACGAAAGTCGTACGTCATCATTTGGGAATGCGTATGCTGCGAATTATCAGCATTTAGACCTACATTGCACCTGAAATAGACAGGAAAGGCAAAAGCCGACTTACTTCCGGGGCGAAATGCATGATACCGACGGCCGTACTCGATAGGATAGTCGACAACACTCGACGTCAATGATGCGCTGTAATTTGAACTGGTCGGATTAGCATTATGAACGCAACAGCCGTTGCAAGTCGATGAACTAACAGTCTCTCGTCAATTGATGCTACATCATCCTCTCCCTAATGCGACATTAGCACCAGACGTGAGTCGAACCCGAAAGGCCAATAAAGCATACGTAAGGCCAAGCCTCCGCCTCGAGTTGATCCATCTCGCTAGTCAACAAGATCTCCGGCTGCAATTTCCAAACAACAAGACATGAAGAAGAACTCGCTTATCAAGACGCAGGGCATGTGGTGTTTTGCTATCTGCGGGGTCGCCGAAAAATGTACGCGGCCGCCGTGCAGAGTTCACGAGTTGAGTTCGTCTAGTGTTTCCAACCGCCCGTTTCCTTCGTAGAAACATGTTCGCTACGTTGTTCAGCTAAAGGTGTAATAAATTCTAAAGCGGTTTCCTCGGCCCCTTACAGTAGTCTGCTGACTCAGGCCTCACGCATTTATCGAGCGACTCACTTGAACGGTCGCAAAGCTGGCACAAGAACCTGCCTTTTCCTTGTTACCGGTCGCGCCATTAAGGACTAGGAGGGTAAACCAAAGCCCACTTGAGGCAGTTTGTGGTAGAACAAAGCACATCGAACTTTCTACGTAACATCGCAGCAATTGTGTGGGTTTCCAGGGAACAATTGATTCTACGGTCTTGATCACTTTCATTGAGATAAATCAACTGAATCCTGTTGAGCAAGGCCCTTGAACGACAAGCTCGGAAATTGGGACTGAGCTTTATTAGTAGAAGCTCTTTTCCGCGAGTAAACCTTTCTAGCTAACAGCGAAATCAACTTCCACCGATTCCCCTCAAAAAACAGCGAATATTTCCGACTCCGCCAACAACCTATTCCAACCGAAAGAGCCACTCAAAATATTCAAAAACACCACCTTGCAAACGGAAAAAATGGCCTCCCACAAGCCAACTTACGCCCAGGCCCTCGCCCACGCAAAGGTCCTCCACGACGACTTCCAGACCGAACTAGCCGCCTTCCGCCAGAATCTCAGCTCGCACTGGGACAGCTGTAAGGATATTCTCGAAACCTTTGAAGAAGGCGCGCTAACACGCGAAAACCTCGCCACAAACGTCAACGCCATCGACGCGCTGCACATCCGCCTCTTCAACCGATATCTGGCACTGCGCGAGGGCCTGCATGATCTCATTGGTCCCCTCTATGTGGGTGCGGTGCATCCAAAGAAGGGCGAGAAGGACATGTTGTTGGGAATGTATTGGGCCTTTGAGCGAGTGCCGCCCTTTGATGCGAAAGACGGGGATGACGTGATTGGGGGTCGGGAAGCAGACCGTGTAGAGGTCAAGACTTGTCGATACACTGGAACAGGAACTGGTAACGGTGAAGAGCCTTGGACCTTTCAGGAGTATGATCCCGGGGCTGACGGCAAGGCTGGTCCTGATGAATGGTGGGAGGATTCTAAGGAGAAAGAGGCGGATCTTATTGATCTGAATTAGAGTCGTTGAGTCTTTCCGCTTTGTAACCACTTAGCCGAACCTAGCCTCCCATTTCAAACTCAGTCTTGATAATACTTCCTCCTAGCTCTCCACCAGATTTCCCTTCAAATCCTTATACTTATTCTTCGGATCCGCCATTTCCTCCTCCACCGTCTGCAACTTCTTAATCACCCTCGCCGGGCTGCCCACCGCCACACTATACGCAGGCAAGCTCTTCGTGACCACGGCGCCACTGCCCACCGTCGTGCCGCGCCCGATCGTGACGCCTGGCATGATAGTCACACCCCCGCCGATCCAGCAGTCGTCCTCGATGATGACCGGCAGGCCGTACTCGACGAACTTGATGCGCGAGAGGACCGAGGTGTCGTGGCCGGCGGTGTAGATGCTCACGTTGGGGCCGAACTGGGCGCGATCGCCGATTGTGACGAGGGAGACGTCGAGGATTGTCATGCTGTGGATGTGTCAGATTTCTCACTGCATCAGTGGAAGAAGGTGCCGTACTTGAAATTAGCAAAGCAGTTCTTGCCAAAGATGACGTTGCACCCGTAGTCCACAATAAACGGCGCCTCGACAAAGGTGCCCGCGCCGAGCTTGCCAACCATCTTGGCTAACGTCTCCGTCTTCAGCTGGGCCACCTCGTCGGCTGTGTGCTTGCGATGGTCAATTTCGCTGAAGTCACGCGCGAGGCACCTGCCTTGGTGGCGACCGTCGACTAGGATCGGGTCGACGGGGTTGTACCTTTTATTGCGGTCAGTAATGGGTGACGAGGTGTTTCTGGAAATGGCGCTCACATCATCCCAGAAACCATCTTCTCGTACTCCTCGCACCAGGGCGTGTTCTGAAGAGTGCGGGCTACCGCGATGATTTCGGGGTCTTTTTGGGACTTGGCCATCTTTGTGAGTTGGAGGGTCGTTGTTTTTGATTGCCGGACGGGAAGGTGTGATGGGGAAAAGTGACGACGGTCAAACGAGAAGCTGCAGAAGAGAAACAAATGAGAGTCCGGTTATGGACGGTTTTAAGAAAGACAACGATGAAGTATATCGTGTCCTGAAGTCAAAGAGTCCTTGGTGTTGTGTGTAAGTGGCGGCCGATGCGGAGACTCCGCCGGCCGGGTACACCACACTCGTGCGTGGGAGGCAGGAACACCCTGGTGTGGGGTCCTGCCATTTGTCGCGATAATTTTCACGACGGCTTCTAAGTGGCTGGCATGAGTAAATGTCGGGGAACACAGCATGAGAAGCGGACCAGATTGCCCACGCGGTGGAGGCTGAGACCGTGGTCCCGGGATGGCGAGGCGGCCCGAGAAACACTAGATCCAGCCTTCCTGGCCCCGTATCTTCCGGAATACATATCCCGCCTGGGTCTGTCTGCATGCCGGTAACCGGTCACGGGTGAAACAACGCCTGCGCATAGCCCTATTAATATTGGAAAAGTTTGTCATGTCTAGTAACGAGGCCGTAACTCGTATGCTCATATCCATCTAAGAGAAGTATGTATAGACTCATTGTACCTAGCGCCTCGCATAGCCCCAAATGCCAATCCGCGTCTAGCAAATACACCTCATGCGTCTCATCCGCTAGCAGCAGTTTTCCTGCGACTCGCCAGCCGCTGTTTGGAAGCTTGCAGCCTCTCCTCGTCCATGGTTGACCGCCACGTGCAGTCGTCCGCAAACTCGCACATGCGGCACTTGTACGCCTCCTCAATCTGCACGCCCCGCGGCTCTCGGTCTGCGCGCCACCACTCCAGCGTGCTGCCCAGGTAGAGATTCAGCGCACGATCGTCCATCGGGAACACCTGGCTGTCGATGAGGGAGCCATCGCCGCGGTATCTGTACTCTACGGCGAGAAGTCTACCAACGGAGTCTGCACCGTGGGCAAAAGTCTCCTTCAACTCGGACCTGAGAAGTGGGAGAAGTTCGCGGAGCGTTCTGTACTTGATAAAATCGGGCGTCTGACTTGTGGCTCCATCCGCATCCGTACCGCCATTTGCCGCACCAGATGATGGCGGAACGTAGTCACCATCCGGGGATGAGTTGACGTCGAAGAACAGCTCGTCGTGCAAGCTGCCAATCTGCGCGATGAACGAATCCGAGAACGGCACATCCGGGTCGAGATTATACCGCCTGAAGATTCTCAGGTAATCCAACTTGTCCGCCGCCATCTCTGACAGGAACCGTTGGTAAAGAAACAACTGCACCTTTGCGGGGCGCAGCAGCGCGGGGCTGTTAGGCGCCTTCATGGACCCCCGCGTCTTGACGTCCGTCAAGTAAATCTGCGGGATCTTCTCCTTGCCCGCACTCTTCGACGGGAAGTAGTCCGTGATGCTCGCCTGGCTCTGGCCCTCCGACTCCTGGCTCAGCTGCTCCTCAAACTCCGGGTCTGGGTTCTCGAAGCTCAGGCCGTCAATGACGCCGTTGACGAGATTGCCGTCCGCGAAGCCCCATACCTCGAGCTCGCGGGTCATGCCCGTTTCACGGAGCGTTCGCAGGCCTTGGATGAGGTTCCACATGCGCAGACCAAAGCCGTCCTCTTTGCTCGCGATCTCGACGCGCACGGTGGTGTGGACCTCGTCCTCGAGGTCCTGGTGCACCTTGGTGCCCTGCTTCATCGCCGCCGTGCGCGTCTTGCGGCCAAAGGGCAGGCGGGTGAGGGTGTAGAAGTATTGCAGCTCGCACCATGCGCCGGCCGTCAGGTCGGTGACGGTGAATGGCTTTCGCGGGTAGGATCGAAATCGTACGAGGGGCGATCGGGTGTCATCGTCAGGTTCTGGTGGGGGAGTGGTCTTCGGTTTGGAGGGCGAGCGCGAGGAGTCGCTTTTGGAGAGAGCTTTGCTCACTAGACGCTTCCCAGTCAGTCAGTTTCCAAATACCGGTCCGTTGCGGGTAGCGAACTCACGATCCGGGTAGTTGACGACGCCGTTGCCATTCGACGGCGGGGTAGCAGCCCTGTGCTTCCTGCTGTCGGTGCCAAACGCAGCTCTGCGGCGACTGCGAGGAGACCGTAATGGCGCCTTGGCCGTAGCAGACGGCTCATAAGAGAGGGCATTGGAGGGAGCATCGTTCAGGCGGAACTCCTCCTCGGCGACGGTGTCGATGCCGAGGTCTTCTGCGAGCGCGGCGACTGCGGCAGGTGGTGGTGGTGCTGAGGCGGGGTTGGGAGCTTCGGTGATGAGCTGGCTTAGCAGAGATTCGTCTTCAAGAGTGAGATCGTAGCCATATTCGTCGTCAGAGTCAAGCGAGAGCGATGCTGCCATTGTTGTGCGACTTTGGAGTCATGTCGGTGCTTGGTGGGGTGATGTGAGGTCCTTCTGGTGAAGGCGTCACGACTCAGCGGGGAGATCGCCGCTAAAAACACGGGAGACGCGTTGGATGAAGTCGGGTGGCAATGGGAGGTGACGGCGTGGAGGCGATTTACCTTAGTGCTTGCAGATGCTGTAAGCGGAACTTCGCCGCCTGTGATTGGGCGCTGGGGCTCGTTGGTGCCTGGGAGCCCCTGCACTGGGAACAGGCAGCGCTGCCATCGAACAAAGCCTAGAAAAATACACAATACAGATTTCAGAGGATACGGTTTGCAAGCTTTCTTTGAAGATTTTGACACTCCTAATGTTCGTAGTCGCTGATATCTAAACTTCGCATTGTGTAAGGTAGGTATATTGGTGCCACGAAAGTTGCGATATAGGAACTGAGTGGGGGGGGGGCTTGTTACTTTAGACGTTGAAGCAGGACCAAAGGAGGATAAAAGCTATGGAAATGGAACTGTGTGGATTCTAGTCTCAGAATTATCTTACGTTCACAATTAATACCTAGGTAGCTTTCACTGTCATCACATTGTCCAAGATTTGCGATCGGAAGGAACCATGATTCCAATCTTAAGGTGCAAATACCTTCCTCGTCTAGGGGTGTCTATTTTCGTCCAAAAACTCCTGAACGCCTAAAACCGATTTTCTTTTCCGTCGCGACGTGTCAAAATATTCGTGAAGCGTTTCCCGCAGCGCGTATCTTTCCCATTAGAAGAAGAAAGGTCCAAAAAATCTCTATCCTGTGTCAAATCCGAACCTCATCATCTTCAGTTCTCCCTTCTCCATGAATTCAAGCTTTGCAAGGTCGGTCGGTTTCTGGCAAGCCTTCAGTCTCCTATCTCAACCAACATCCCTAGCTTCTCATCGGGTCGTTTAATTTATGCACTCAGGTTGTTGACGCGCTCCGTAAGCGTCTCCCGGAGCTTTTCCGCCACAAACTGGCGAAAATCCCTTCCCTTAGCAACAACCAACTGACCAGCCCACTTGACAAGATCGTCCCAGCCGTGGGACTGGAGCTTCGTAATGAAAGGACTTAATATGCCCTTGCGAAAAGTCTTGCTTTCACTGGCCGCGATATTTGGCAGGAACTGTATTATCTTGCGCAGCTCCGTGATTGTCTTTTGCATATTGGCAGCGTTCGTCTCTGTCGTGATTTGGCGCTCGACTTCGTGCTGAGCCTCGGCAGCATTGGTCTGACTGCTGACAATACTGCCAACAGCATTACGACTCTCATCCACGTTAGACCCGGCATGTTGGCGTGGTCGCTTGATCGCGGGCTTTACTTCTTCGTCTTCCGACTTGATCTCGATGACCTCACTGTGACCTTGAAGTGTGGCGGCTGATTCATTTTTCTCTGTGCGTCTTTTCTTCTGCCCTGGACCATGTGTGACGAATATTTGTCTTCCTGACGCCGTACAACCGCTAGATTCAGCAAACCAAGAAGAGGTCTCCGGCGCCTTTCTCTTTCGAGAGTCGTCTTGAACGGCCTGCCTCGGCCCAGCTGCTTTTCCAAGACTCGGCTGAGGACCTGTTCGCGCATCATCATTCCCACTTCTAGAGTTGTCGTTATTTTGAGGCCCGGCAGACTGAGCACCATACATCGCTCTCTGCAACCCCTCCTGTGAGTAGGTGTTCACGCCAGTGATGCAATTGATAAGGTAGCTCGGTCCCGCATAGCACTGCCTGAAAGTCGGATGGTCCAGCCAGGTTTCGGGAAGGTTCATCTGGAACCTCAGAATGGCAGAGCACACCTGCCATTTCACAACGGCCTTGTCTCCTTTCTCCATTCGTCGTGCCAACGAGACTGTGCGGTTATTGTGGCAATCTCCGGATGGTCCTCTCTTCTCGCTAATCGTCAATTCTTTGGAGAGGTCATCAATGACCATGGTCTTCTCTTGTCGGGACAAGACAAAGTCGTGAATGTCCGAGTTGAAGATTCGAATTGCCAGTTTGAGGTACTTAACCTGGTAGGGAAGGTGGTACGGTTTCTTCGGATAGCGGTACCTGGCATGCGCAGGCGCCGCCATGCCTGTTTGTTGATTGTTCATGTTTGTGGCCCAGGAGGATTGTGAATCTGCTAATGCCGTTTTGGAGATGGCTGGCTAGGGTGAAGTTCGTGGGGTTGCTTTTATACTCAGTTCTAGAGGAGGACGTTATCGTGGTGAAGTTATCAACGAAAGATGTGTGTTGTGTTTGCAACGAGGATGAATAGATTGCCGACGAGAACTGAGATTTAAATCACCTAAAGGTAAGAGCAATGCGGTCTTGGATTATTCTTGAATATGTTGAAAATGAAAGAAAAGATCTCTTGCAATACTTTCGCCGTTGTCGAGTTAATGTTTTGTTTGGAGGAGACTCGGGTACGGCTGGAGCCGATTTCAGATGGTGAACATAGGACGGGTGGGTTCGTTTGGCGGAGGGAAGGTGACTCAAGAGGAAGGTGAATCCTTCGGTGGGTGAAATGAGTTTCACTTCAGGAGATTTTTGATGAGTCAAGGGCTAAGAAGGTGCATATGGTGATTGCTCTATAGTTTTGGGAGAGAACGTGTTGTTGTTGTTGTTGTATTTAACGCCGTGGCGGCAAGGGCGCAGCCGCCCTTGCGGCCGACCTCCCGAGGGGTATATGGCGTGGAGGGCCACAGGCTCAAGCTATATACTCTACAGTACACGCCTCTTCCTAACGTCCTCCAAATCTTGCCCATAGGCTACTATGTGTTCTATCCGTCCCTAGTTCCCGCTGGTTCCCTGGTTCCGTTATACTCGTCAGTTCCTCTACGAGGGGGGGGGGTTCGTTACTAAGGCCTAGGTTCAGACCTAGGCCCTAGTACCGCGGGCAGATCTTCCGGAAGAAATCTGTCACGCAGAGAAAGGCCTGGAAGCCTTCATGATCAGTGATTAGCCCCTTGTAGTATCGATCCAGAGATCCTATTGGTCCTATAGGCTCCTGTGGACTAGAGGGGTGGAGGGTGGGCCACTGAAGCCTCCTCGCTAAGGTCTTTCGGCAGTAGACTAGGTGGTCTGCCTCCTTTGCCTCCCCACAGGAGCAGGTAAGCAGTGCTTCTGTATGGTTAAAGCGTTGATGGTATTGTTCGAAGTCTCCATGGCCTGACCGGGCTGCTAGGAGATGATGGAGTATAGCCCGTGGCAGGGCTAGTTCAGGGGGGCAGGCAAGGGAAGCCTTAAGCCCTAGTTGGGTATAGCGGGGTGTTGCATCTTGCTTCCACCATTTTCTATACTGGCGGCATATACGTTCTCTAGCTAGCCGTTTGATCCCTGACAGGGTGGCTAGTTGGCCCCTAGGGGCTGGCATGGTTGTGCCCTCCTTGGCTAGGCTGTCTGCTTCCTCGTTCCCTTTGATGCCTTCATGCCCTGGGGACCAATGGGTTCGTATGTCATACGTCCTAGCTGCCTCTTGGATCTCAAGGAAGGCCGCTTGTGAGGAGTCTGGGACCCTGCCTCGGATCCCCTGGATAACGCTGGTATTATCGATACAGATATGTATAGGCTGGCCCTGGGAGGTAAGGAGGGCCCGTCGGAGCCCTGCCCTCGCCCCCTCAGCCTCCCCATCAAACACTTCTGCTAAGCTGAGGCGGCCGCAGCCCTGGGCTATACGTTTGTTCTTACGGTATATAACAAAGCCAAACCCTGTAGCGCCATCAGGGGCCTTAGAGCCGTCTGAGTAGATAATAGTATGCTTATCTGGCACAGTCTTAAGCCAGGCCTGGAAGATCCTTGCTGCTGCTTCCTTCGTCTGTGTGACTATAGGGTGGTGAGACCCTAGGGGGTATTGCGGCTGTAGGAGTGCTGGCCTTGGGCACCTAGGTAAGAGGCCAGCTGTTCTTTGGAGCCTGGTCTGCTGCCGCCCTGGCTGTAGAAGCCTTGGGACCAAGGGATGTTGTTGGTCAACCTTCTGTAGGCGTGTAGCGAAGCGTAGTCGCGCTGCCTCAAGGGCCACCTCTGCTGTTGGTAGGCCAGCATCTCGGATGAGGGCACTGGTTGGTGTGGTCCTCCAGACAGGTAGGATAGCCCTTGCTGCTGCTGTAATAACTCTTCCGACTCTACAGGCTAAACCCTTCTGTCCTGTGCCGACTATACTGGTGCTGCTGTTCAGGGCTGGTCTGGTCAAGCCTGCATACCAGGTCTCAGCTCCATATAGGGCTATTGGGAGGGCGCAAGCAATAGCTGCTTTTCGAACTGCAGCTGCTGGGAGCCCCCCTTTTGTGTTTGTAAGGTGCTGTAGGAAATAGGCTACCTTCTTTGCTGCTGCTACTTTTATTCCTACATGGTGTTGGAAGGTGAGTCTCCTATCAAACCAGACCCCTAACCATCTTATAGGCTTTATTGAGGCCTTGATAGTTAGGCCTCTGGCTTGGATATCTGGTAGGTCTGTTGTCTGTTGATGTTTTCTGCTGAAGTGGATTGCCTCACACTTAGCTGGGTCAAAGGCGACTTTATTTTCTGTTCCCCAGCTGAGGATACTACTGATCTCCTGGCCTAGGGCTGTAGCGTTCTCTTCTAGCGAGGGGCTAGTAGCTACTAAGCCTATATCATCTGCATAGCCAAACCGTAGCTTCCGATCATCAGCTAGGATATCAGCTATATAGAGCAGGAAGAGGATAGGGGATAGTGGAGAGCCTTGCGGTAGTCCACAGGATAGAGGGAAGTCCTCTGTAGTAGTATCCTCTAGCCTGACGCAGGCTGTTCGGCTAGAGGTGAAGGTGTAGATCAGTCTGATCAGGCTACTAGGCCAGCCCTGCTGTCGTAGCCTGACAATAAGTCGGTTTCGTAAGACGGAATCAAACGCCCCCTTGACGTCCATTGTTGCTAGCGTCGCAGTAAGCCCTGTATCTAGAGCCCTCTCAATCTCATGGGTTAGACAGGTTGTCAGGTCGACTGCAGCCCTCCCTGGTAGGGCTCCAACCTGCTGTGGGCTGGCAACCCCTTCTAGGATAGTAAGGTAGGCCATCCTCTTTGCTATCAGCCGCTCTAAGCCTTTGCCTAAGCAGGACAGCAGGGATATTGGGCGCCAAGACCCAGTCTTAGAGAAATCTGTTTTCCCTGGCTTCTGGGTCATGACAATTTCCGCATTGCGGAAGGGTCTAGGAAAATAGCCTACTTGAACGCAGGCCTGGAAGAGCTGTTGTATAGGCTTGGCTACTAATCCCCAGGTGCATTGTAGCAACTTTGTAGTAATCCTATCAGTCCCAGGGGTTGTAGCTTTTGTCAGAGTAGCCTGGCGTACTTCCTCTATGCTAACTGTATTCTGCCAGGGTATAATACGACTTACAACCACTGGGGTACTAAAAGGGTTCCCAGATAGGTCGTCTGTAGCACTAAATCGCTCTAGTAGAGCCTTTCGCAAGGCTTGGGCTTTATCGTGGGTATTGCTGATCGTCTGCCCTTCCACTATCAGAGGCGGAGCTTTAACTGCTAGGCTAGACTTCCGCCAGCCTATAATTTTATATAGGTCTTGGTCTGTCTTAGCCTCTTCGATCTTAGCAGTCCAGTAGGTGCGTTTCGCCCTTCTCACAGTTGTTAGGAAGACTTTTTGCTCCTCTAGGATAGGGGGAGGTATGACCAGCCCAGGTTCTTGGGCCTGTTGGCGCCTAGCCTTAATAGCAGCTTGGTGGGCTACTGAGCATTCTTCTGTCCACCAGGGGGCTCCCCTACCCTGATTAGTCCGTCTCTTGCCTACAGCTTGAATAGCTGTATGGAAGAGGCTGACCAGTTGGGCAGCTAGGGTGTCCAGCTCTGCTGGGCTGGGCAGTTCCCCTAGAGTAGGTAAGGCTGTAGCCCCAGCCTTTACTAGGTCGATCAGCCGTGGTAGGGCTGACTCCGGGACTGAGAGCTGGTTATCCTGGCGTCCCTGTTCCTGGGCCCTACTCATAGGGATAGTTGTTGTGATGGCTTCGTGGTCAGCCCCTGGGTGTAGGTGTGGGCTGATATAAGCCTCAGTAAAGGGAATATTTGAGAGGGTTAGGTCGAGGGTATGCCCGTGGGTATGGGTAGGGGCCCCAAACTCCCCAATAAACAGAAGATTGTAGCCTTCCGCCCATTCTGCAATATCGTCTCCTCGATTCCGGCTAGGGGACCCAGGTTCCCAAGAGGAGTGGCGGGCATTAAGGTCCCCAGCGATAAGGGCTCTCTCTGGCGGTTGATAATCTAGAAGGAGGCTGGTTGCTTGGTTTATAGGCTCATCTGGCGGCCTATATATGTTCATAATAGTGAGGTCGCCAGCTTTCACCCATAAGATATCTCTTGATTGGGTAGGTCTTTGTTGCTGTATTTGCAGCCTTAGACCTTTGCGTGTGTAGGTCATAACCCTAGGCCTTGTGTCTCTGTTGTTCCAGAAGTCAACTGGTACATAGGAGTTAAAGCCTGGGTGTGTATTAATCTGCATCTTATCTCTATAGCCTATCCAGGGTTCCTGGACCAAAACTATGTCGATCTGATCTGCCCAGCAGAGCTCTAAGAGAGCTGTATGGGCCGGGCTCCTCTTCCCCACATTACACTGGGCAACTCGTAGTACCTGTGGGGTAGCTGGCCTGAGCCTATAGCTCTGAGTCGAGGTCGAGGTGGGTGTAGGCATTAACAACGTTATAGTCAGGCTTCTGGGCTACCCTCTGGCTCCTGCTGCTGCTTGGGAGTGGATGGATAGGGAGAGAACGTGTTGCCGTGAGAAAATAAAAAGGATAATATGATGCGGGATGATATGCCGCAGATGGTGAACCTCTAGGGGTGCTGTGAGGTTGATGTTGATTCAAGACTGAGAAGTCAGAAGTTGAGTTGAAGTGTAAGGCTTGGCTTGCATTTATAGCTGCGCTGAGGCGGTGATGTTGGGACACAAGCTGGCTCGCTATAGAGAAAAGTCCTTCAGCCCTCTTGTAGTGCCATCAAGCCCCAGTGCCTCCTTCTCATCGTCACCCAGTAGCCCCAGTGCCTGCCTCCTAGTAGGCGCATTCGCATCAAAGTACGGCTGCTCCGCGAGGGAAGTCACACGGGTGCCGTGACGCGGGTGCTTGCCCTCGTAATCCCAGCTGGCGTTGTG